AACCTATCCCAAAACAGGTGCCCTTTTCCAAAAATATCCCAAAATAAGAAATGCTCGAGTAGACAGACATTGGCACCATAGAACAACAGAAAAAGGGAAATGAGAGAAAGGACAAAGAAAAAAACAAAAGTGATGGTGCTTCCTGGTGTACACACTTCACTTAGTCACTTTTTTTCCCCGGGACAAAATCCCGCGCACAAAGAGAAAGAAAAAAAAAGAAAGAAAAAAAAGAGAACCACAAAAACCTCACTCCGAATCATGTTCGACAAATATGCGAATCGAGAGGGGGGAAAAGTGAAAGAAAACGTGTACACTTTCACTTTAGTGGAAATGGAGGATAGCCCGAAGGAAGGCTCAAAATCACATTGATCTTTGTGACTTTGTTGTCTGTACAATTTAGCCCGAGAGAAGTTTTAGAATACTTACAAAGTACGAATTTAGAATTAGAAGTTTTCGGAAAAAAAAAGCTAGCAGATAATAAAAGCGGCAAGAAGATTTATCTAAGGCTTAAACGCGCTATTCAAAAAGTGCTATTCAAAAAAAGTGCTAGTGAAAGTGAAAAAGACTAACTGACATGGTTAAACAAATCAACAACAAAATCTAGTCATAAGAAAGAGAAATTTGGATAGAATTTGAATTTAATCCCAATCAAGCACAGCCAAGCACAAAATTTCCGTCAAAAAAAAGACGAAGCCCACTCAGTCTGTGGCTCAAAACTTTTCATCGAACGAGCGGCCGATGTTTCAAGCCTGTCCTCCAGGCAAAGCAACACACACACACACACACTTGAGCCTCTAAACGAAACAAGAATACACACAAGGTGTATTGTGTTCCAAAAGGAGTCCTTTTTAGAGAGTGAGGGAGAGATGTGAAGCCTTGCTCTTCACCTCTCTTTCCCCCTCACCGATCAGCTACATCGGTCGTCCTTGTCACCGAGAGTGAAAGGGTCGTCTGGTCCTCTTTCGATTCTTTTCTTCTTTCGATTCTTCTTCTCCCCATTTCCCCTCCTCAACCCCATTCCCCTATTTGCTGACTGTCCCAAAAAGTGTCCTGGGGATCGCCTCCCATCTTTCCCCTGAGGGGGTTGAAGAGAAGCCGAAAGTCTCGCCGCCTTCCACCTGTCATTTGCCTCCACACACGCCGCGTCAAGCTTAGAAAGATTTTCGATTCAGAAGATTTTGCAGAAATTAAGTCCGATCTTGTGAAATTAGTCGTAATCCTAGATGAAGAACTCTCTGAAAGCCAGCAATCCATTACTTGTTTTAGTCTAGTTTTTATAACCTCATAACTGTTTATTTTGGAACAAATACACGATTCAATGATAAGAACAATTCAAAAACTAGGAATATTTTCAGAAATAAATATGTAACATTGAAAGTAAAAAGACCTTGTCAGTAAAATAGAGGATTGTGCGTGACCCAATGTTGCTCCGGTTTGTTTTTCGCTTCCTCGCATGTGGTAAAGAGCTTCTTGTAGACATCGGATTTTGTAGGATCCTCTTGTATCGACACTTTTCCTTTCAAAATACCCATCGCTTCCGCTTTTCGTTTTTCTGCCTTTTTAACTAAAAAGAAACTTATAAAAATAAGCAAAATTATGCAAAAGCTACGCACATAGATTCTAACTATTGAAATAGGACTTCTAACTTGAAAATTACCTTGATTAACGGCCACCGCAGCTTCACCAACTGGTTGCGCTTTTGGTGGTAGTTGATCCTCATTCGCACTGTGTTTCCGTGTAGGTGCTCCATTAGAAGGCCCAGCCACCGGCTCGTTGACTACTTGATTCGTCCCATTTGCCTCCTTTTCTGCCACTTTCTTTTCTTTCTTCACCTTCTTCTCCGTAGCTAGCCTTTCCTGAAAAAAAATCATAATAATTTTATATATGACATCTTTACTTAAATAATTTAGGGAATGCATCTTTATCAAAAAAAAAACAAATTTACATAAAGTTACCTTGTATTCCGCTAAAAGTTCTTCACTGGGATTGAGCACAATGATGTCTTCTGGGCTCATCGGTTGGCTGCAGCCATGGCAAGATTCGGACTTGATCTAAAAAAACAATTGAAACTAGCATTAAAACTAAAGCATTAAAAATTATTGATTGATTTTTGATCAAAGCAGACGAATTAACTTGTAAAGAAAACGTGCATTGCTACTATCACTTTAATCAAAAGCAAAATCGATAAACTAAAAAGGAAATACCTCGTTAAGCGCCTTCTCTGAAAAGACACATCCGCACTTCCAATTGAAAACAAACGATTGATTCCCGTTCATTGGGAATGAAGTCACTGGGCAGATGTAGGGTGTCTGATTTACGTCCAAATAGCTATCACCTTTAGCCTAAAATAGAAAACATTTTTGAAATTTAGAATCAATAAATTACCCCATCATCTGTGTAATCCTTGTTTACAGTGAGGCGCAACTCTTTGAAATCCTAAAAAACAAAAAGTCAAAATATCTAAACCAAATTAGCTACCTTAACGCCTTTGATATGAGCCGTGATGTCGATTTTGCCAATAGTTTTGTTCAAGATGGCCTCGATGATTGCCTCTTTATTGTAGAGTCGTCCAAGTCTAGATATAAGGATCAAAAACCTTACTTTATTAAAGAAATTGGTTATTCTTAACAAACCTGCAAGCGATAATTGGCTTCTTCAGCGGTTGTTGCGAGAGTTGACACGTTCTCCATTTCGTGGCGTTCTTCACCGCTCTTTCGATCTTCTCCACTTTTTTCGACTTTCGTACCTAGAAATAAACAATTGTAATTTGTCGAAAATACACAGCAGAATAGAATTAAAAGCCGTACTAGTTCGCATCGTTTTGGAATCGTGCCACCATCAGCTCCCATCTTGTTTCACTTCTAAAAAGGCTTTGCTAAATTCTCGCTTAACTGTTCTGACAAATAAAGATATTGAAGTAATTGACAAAAAATTTAAGGTAAGCTTGTTAAAGCATCGCGTAATATTTTCGTTCCTCTCAGCCGGCAAGTACACTCGACTCCATTGTACACGCAAAGACAGAGAAAACGTTAATTGCCTCCAAAGACACATGCAATATGCTTGTAACAATTTAAACGCACCCACAAACTTTGTGATTGTGAAACTCAAAATAGATTTGCGGCTAAGATTGAAGACCCCAAACTTTCTTTGCGAACATTTGCGATAGCTTTGTGGATTAACATTTCTTCACACTTTCGCATTTATCAAACTTTTTATTTACAAAATTTAACAAGCAGGAAAATAAAATTTACATTGTTTACTATAATGAAACAACCAAAGAGAAATATTTAACGATTTCGGTGTCTTATCATTGGTGATAAATGGTTGAACAAAGCTGGAAGAGGCCACGCATCTTCTATTGGTCCTTGGGCATGTTCTTGAAACCCATCACAGCTTCCTCACCACAAGCAGCGAAAACGGTCACCTAAACAGAACAAGATAAACAATTCACAAAGCTGATGAACCTTAAATGCATCTAATTAATAAACCCAAGATTTACCATAATTCCGGTTTCGTCCTTCTCAAAAGCTTCCTTGATTGGAGTTGAAAGTGTAGCGTCTTCTGGCAGTTTCAAGTCGTCCTTTGTGTCGCAAGATTCAGGATCCATCAAGCTGAGGAATCCATCGGCGTTAATATCCATCAACTAAAAGAAAAATATTAATCTCGGGCAACAATCTAGTAATTCCCTACATTAGCCTTAACAATTAAATGCTAAAACAGTTACCATCGTTATGTTTTAATAAAGTTTAAAAGTAAAACGGTCAAGTTTTGGTACTTTGGTAGTTGGGAGGGGCCACTTTTAGTTTACTTTGTCGAAAAAAATGTTTTGAGCGGTTCGCGTCGATACTTTTCTTTTATTCTGAAGAAAGAGATATATGCTGAAGCGATGGATGCTAATTTAAGCACGTTTTCGATAATCCTATTCAATGATTTGCCCTGTGTCCTCGTCTTCTATCGTACCTCGTATTTCAAAGCTGATTACACTTGGAAAGCCACAGTACTAACTTGAAACATGTTGGAAATACTTTAAAATTAGCACCAATCACTTCAGCATATTGAATTATCCGGGAATAGAAGAAAAGTACCGACAAGAACCGCTTAAAACACTAGATTCGACGAAGCCAAGCCAAAAGTAGCTTCTCCCAATCACCAAAGCAACAAAGTTTTTAATATTAAACTCCCAAAAAACCGACCATGAACTCGCGCTTCTTGACTATTGGGACATCCATGTTGTGAGTGGATGGGCAGATATCCTCGTATTTCTTGCCGGTGAAGATGTCGAGAGCGACCATATGAACCTTGGCGTGCCCGTGTTTTCCAGTCTTCGAAGTTGACATCTCGACGATCTTGCATGGACGCCCCTTGATCATCACGTGCTCACCCTTGCGCAGTGCCGAGCATTGCTTGGGGAAAGTGGCAGCAGCTCCCGAATCGGCGGCTCCCTCAAATTGATGATCCTCGTCGTGGTCGGACATCACTAAAAAAGAAAAATTGAATGGATCAAGAATGGATCAAGAATGGAAAAGAACGAAAAAGACAACAAGACGGCGACTTAAAGATAGGAGCAGACTTAGACTTCAAATAAACCAGCTTCAAAACTAGAATATTCGTTGGCAAGCGTTGTAGCATGGTTAACGTTTAAAAGCGCGGATGCTCTTCTCATTTTCATTGAGCTCTTGAAATAAAACGAGAAAATAAGCAAAGCAATGCAAAGCGATGCAAAGCGATGCAAAGCTAAGCAAAGCCAAGCAAAGCTAAGCAAAGCAAAGTCATAAATCACGCAAAAGAAAAGGATTGCCGCGCAGCAACTCAAAAAATTGGATGAAGAATGAAAGTTTTTTGTTAATGCAGCTACAAAAGTGAAGATATTCAGTCGAATGGCTAAATATTCAATGTTTGTCAATTTCTTTGTAAAATTCTTTTCAATTTTTTTCATTATTTCTGATTTCATTCTTTCTCTTTATTCAAAACTTCATAAAAGCTCAAATCTCCAACAACTAAAAAGTGCTTTGAACGACAGATGTGCGAGTAAATGAGGTTTTCGCCATTCGAGCGGCTAAACTAAAGCGTCGATCACTTCCGCCGGGAACAACAGTAGTCGCTTCTCCCATCGCAAAAGTTCTCGGAGCAAAGATACCTTAAATATTTGATTCGTATAGCCTAAAAGCTCTGGGGAATAGCATTTCCTTATTGCTTTTTTTATTCCTTATTCTATTTTACCCACATGGTAAGATCTTGGCCAAGAGATTCCAGACAATTTGTTCCACATAAGCATAATAAGGTCGATAAAGGGACAAGGTGACAATTGTGGAAAAAGTCCATGTAATGAGAACAAGACTAAGCCCAGCGGGATCAATCCTGAATTTTTAGATCAATCTAGATCAATCCTGAATTTCTAGACCGTGCTAAACTTCAAGCAGCGTCCTGAAATCTCTTCAGGATTACTGAAGGATTCAGCTTGACGCTGTAAGCTTCAGCTGTAAGTGATTGTAACTAGAGTAAAGCCAAAGTTTCAAGTAACAATGAAAGTTTAAAGACAAAGCTAGTTACTTATTTGATGGATTTGATGGATTCGTTTCGGTTTAGCGACTTTCTCTAATTCTGAATTCTCTAATTTCTAACACAAATTTGAACTTCCAGTCTTTTAGCTTACTTTCCTTTTCTCTACAGATTTGGTTCCTTTTCTCTACAGATTTGGTTCCTTTTCTCTACAGATTTGGTTCCTTTTCTCTACAGATTTGGTCCTTTCCACAGATTTGGTCTCACAGACTTGGTCCTCACAAATTTGGTTCCTTTTCTCTACAAATTTGGTTCCTTTTCTCTACAAATTTGGTTCCTTTTCGTTACAGACTTGGTACTTTCTACTTTCTAAATAATAGCTTACTTTTAGCTTACCAACTAATGCCAAGTTCTGTGATACAAAGATGTAGATTGAAGCAAGTACGGGGAAGAGTAAAGTGATCATCGGGATTGAGACCTGGAAATGCGATTGAGCAACAAAATATAAATTATTTATTATTTATAAGGGTTTTGTCTACTTTTCAACCTCTCACTACAAAAATGTCATCAAATTAATGCATAGCCTTAACCCTAAACAAAGCTCAAACCACCGTAAACAAACAGTAAGAAAAAGTTAGAAGAAGAATGACAACCAGTCAGAAGACTAGTCAGCACTTCTTGAAAAGAAGTGGGGATGGAACTTGTGAAGTCTTAGCTCAGCTTAGCTTTACGCTTAGAAATGAAAGCTTAGCTTAGCGTTACGCTCAGCTCTAGAAATGAAAGCTTAGCTTAGCTTTATCAATCGGCCACAGCTGCACCGAATCTTGGTCTGCAAAAAGGCCGCTAAGACCCAAATGAAGACCGAAATCGACTACATGACTGGCTGGATTGGCTAAAGGCTGGATTTGGCTGGACAAAGACAAAAATGGCTGGATTTGGATGTCCGGACCAGATATTGACGTCCGAATCTGATCCGGACATCCAAATCCAGCCATTTTTATCTTTGTCCAGCCAAATCCAGCCTTCAGCCAATCCAGCCAGCCATGTAGTCGATTTCGGTCTTCCGGATCAGATCCCGACGTCCGGATCGGATTTTTCTGGTCGGATTCAGACGTAACATACAGATTCAGAATCAGCATCAAATTCTGCGATAGGTTAGCATTTGATCTTTCCTTGTGTTTGCTATAAAAGCAGTGACATAAACCGTAAACAATTCATTTCTCCGAAAGTTCTCCGAAAAGTTTGCACGATGATTTCTCAAAAACTAATCCATAAATTCTTCCAAGATTTTTTCATAAACTTAACTGAAATTTCAATGTTTTTCTAGCAAACCTGTAGAATACATTTGTGTATCCATTTCCTTTGCAAGCGAAATGTTTTTGGGCTTATTTTATTCTTGCGCGATTCGAGCACATGAAAACATGAAAGAACGACAACTGAATGTAGTTTAAATCAAAAATCTTTTCGTTATTACAAACCACTGATGATAATCACAACGATAAACACCCAAATCGTGACATTTATGCAAACATTCATCCCATTTTCCAAGGAAAACGCATAGAAGCGATCGATTAAAAGGAATTGGCGAAGGATTGGAAATCTCTAGATAGAAAAGTTAAGCTGTTAAGCAGAAAAGATTAATCACCCAAATCGTGACATTTATGTAAGCATTGATCTCATTTTTCAAAGAAAACGCAGCTGGGAACGGCCGGGAACGGCCGGGAACGTTTGTTCGCAGCCGGTACCGTTATTTCGCAGCCGGGAACGTTAGTTCGCAGCCGGGAACGTTAGTTTGCAGCCGGGAACGTTAGTTTGCAGCCGGGAACCTTAGGTCAGACTGTGCCTACACAGATCTGTGCCTCCACAACCGGAACGTTAGTTCGGCTGGGTGGGGAAGTATTATTTTCAGTTTATTTTAAGATGACAACAAGTTTCCCTCCATCTCTTCATCATCTTTTTCACCATTAAGATAATCAGGCTTAAGATAATCATAGCTTAAGCTTAAGATAATCATAGCTTAGGCTTAAGCTTAAGCTTAAGCTTACATTAGCATAATAGCTCTTGATGCTGTCTTGATCATCATTGTAGAATGTGTAAATCATGATGGTTGTGAAGTGAAGATAGGGCCAGATTTGGAGTAAGCTGTAGAAAATAGCAAGACGACTGGAAAAGTACTTTTTCCATGAAGTAGTTTTTTAAGTTAAGTTTAAGTTTGCAATTTTTTACGATGATCTTAAGCCTAATCAATCAATCTGAAGTATCTAGCTTTGCCTTGTGCTTTTGATTCAAAAAAACCCCTCTTTAGCTACGAGCTGATTGAATCAAACTAGGCTTAAAGGCTTAAATAGGCTTAAATAGGCTTAAGATTATCGTAAAAAGCGAAATTCCTTACCCGGGTCTCAATTTGAGCGCATGTTCTTGCGGCAAAATCGTTTGATGTCGAACAATGAACATTGTAACCATGAGCGTTACCATATGACCCACTGAGACAAAGCCAAAGATCTAGAAAAGCATTTTTTGTAGGATTTAAATGATTTAAACAATTTGTAGTTGGGTAGAGATGCCGAGTTTCCACATCCAACCCATTGGTAGACCACCGGGAACCGGGAAGATCAAATATGGCGCAAGAGCTGACCCAATCAAACCATCAGCAATCAAGGAGACTATCTAAAGATCAATGTAAGATTCGATTTCCATTAGAATTCATTCCTTTCAAATGTCTAATATAGCTCTTTATTGTCATTTTGAGCTTTCTATTGCCATTTTGAGCTTTCTATTGTCATTCATTGTCATTGTTTTTCTAGTAAAAACTTTGCAAAGCCAAAATCAGCTACATTTTGTGCTTCTAATCCTAATTTCTTTTTTTCTACTGATCAATTCTCGACTTTAAAGCTGAAATTTAAAAATTTTGTGAAGTTTGCGATATTCTTTTGATCGTAGAGCTCAATCTGGAACGCATGCTAGAATCTGAAAGATATTTGGCTAAATTCTAATCGAGTTACTCGATGGCCGAGTGGTTAGTGAGATTGATTGCTGTCCATTGGCATTGATTGCCGGCGGGTTCGATCCCGGTCACGGCTTTCTGCTTTCGCTTTTTTCAAAAAAGATCTAATAGTAGTTTTCATTAATTATCTGAAACTATAGACTTATAGCCGCTTGGCCGACTGGCCGACTTATCCTGAAACGTCAGCCTCAGTTTGGCTCATTCGTGGATGATAATTCTGAAGAAACAATTTAAAGTCAATGGGATTTTTAGTCGCGGCAGGCCGGCAGGACGAGTTGACGATGTCTAGAATTTCTAGGATTCTATAGATTTGATGAGGATTTGTGCACTACTGGAGTATTTTCCACTCAGCAAACCATCAAAACATGGCAACAAGAAGAAGAAAGTGATGATGATGAGAACAAGATGAAGGGAGTGATGATGATGAGGACAAGATGAAGGGAGTGATGATGATGAGGACAAGATGAAGAAAGTGATGATGATGAGGACAAGATGAAGGGAGTGATGATGATGAGGACAAGATGAAGAAAGTGATGATGATGAGGACAAGATGAAGGGAGTGATGATGATGAGGACAAGATGAAGAAAGTGATGATGATGAGGACAAGATGAAGGGAGTGATGATGATGAGGACAAGATGAAGAAAGTGATGATGATGAGGACAAGATGAAGGGAGTGATGATGATGAGGACAAGATGAAGAAAGTGATGATGATGAGAACAAGATGATGACAACGAGATGAAGAAAGTGATGATGATGAGGACAAGATGAAGAAAGTGATGATGATGAGAACAAGATGAAGGGAGTGATGATGATGAGAACAAGATGAAGGGAGTGATGATGATGAGGACAAGATGAAGGGAGTGATGATGATGAGGACAAGATGAAGGGAGTGATGATGATGAGGACAAGATGAAGGGAGTGATGATGATGAGGACAAGATGAAGGGAGTGATGATGATGAGAACAAGATGAAGAAAGTGATGATGATGAGAACAAGATGATGACAACGAGATGAAGAAAGTGATGATGATGATGAGAACAAGATGATGACAACGAGATGAAGAAAGTGATGATGATGAGAACAAGATGAAGAAAGTGATGATGATGAGGAGAAGATGAAGGGAGTGATGATGATGAGAACAAGATGATGACAACGAGATGAAGAAAGTGATGATGATGAGGACAAGATGAAGGGAGTGATGATGATGAGAACAAGATGATGACAACGAGATGAAGAAAGTGATGATGATGAGGACAAGATGAAGAAAGTGATCAGATGACAACGTGGAATCACTAATTATTACAAGATGCTGGCAAAGTTGTCGAAATTCTTGACAAAATTTTAGAGCAAAGCTATGAAACTTGCGGAGAAAATGAAGAAGATGCCTCCACCTCTCAACCAAGCAAGGTAAAGCTTTTAATAACGAATTTTTTTATAACTTTGTAAAAGTTTATTTTAACAAAATTGGTACGATCGTTTTTCTTATGAATTTATTTTTAGAAATGAATAAAATACTGCAAATGAGATGAAAAAGCTTTATCTAACGACTTGGATTTGAAATTCTTTCTATATCTAACAAAGCTCATTGAACTAAGCTTTATTGAACTAAGCTTTATATATTCGAAAACATTTTTTGGTCCCTTCCATTCCGTTATAGAGTTGACTGCATTTGAATTTGAATTGAATTTTGAAAAGCAAAAGAATTCAGCTTCTTGTTTTTCCCATTTTGCACCTTTTCTTAATTGTTTACCTGATAAGCACTCAACGCTCGTCCATAATTTCTCATACTTTGTGGTGTGTGGAAAGCGATCACATAGAAACCGAAGAGATTGATCGCCGCCTCGAATACTAGAAATGAAAGAATGGTACAAGACTCAGCAATGGATGAATGCTATAACAATACTTCTTTACACTATTCTAATGAGTTCTAATGAGATTACTGTACTGTACTGTACTGTACTGTACTGTACTGTACTGTACTGTACTGAGCGTTACAGATCAAAAAAACATATCAAAACTCACTAGCAATATAGTGCAAGACATGAAAAACAGCAGTATTCGTATCAATCGACACTTCTCTTGTTGTATCGATGAATGGGACAATATTCTCCATTTTCTAAACAATTTTCTAAACAATTATCAACTCTATTCTGAAAAGAAAATCTCGATTTGATAACGAAACTTTTCAGCTTTTCTATCTCTAAAATTCTGAGGCTCGGTCTCAAAGCAGGTGAAATGCTGTGTTTCAAATTAATTCCCTCCAAAAAATGATTGTTAACTTATTTTCCCCCATATCACTAAATCCAAGAAATTAATCTCAATTTAAGTAATTAATTTTAAAGTTTAAAGTATTTTAAATTTTTGCTTTAATACTTGCTTTAATGCTTTAATACTTCAGTATAACAGTTAGTACAAGCAAAGTTCTTCTCTTTATAAAGCTAATGATTTAATCACTTTGAATAGATTAATGTAAACATTAAATAACTGATAAGCGATGGTCAACTAACCAAATACGATCTGCTATACGCTATACGATCTCTACAATTCACAGATTTAGATGCTATTGGGTTGGGGAGAATGAGTCTAAAACTTCTATTCGACTTCGTCAAATAATATGCGTTTGATATGAGTAGAATGGTTAACTAATTCTCTACAAAATGACATTTAAAAGAAAATTCAAACAGCGCCTCCGCTCAAGAAAAAGCCATTTTTTCACAAAAACTACAAACTGTCATCTAGAAAAAACCATTGGTGGGATCTTCCTGCAAATTTGGCAACTTATGTAATTGAATGTGCTCTATCTTTTTTATATAAACACCAAAGAAGGTTTATGTGAAAGAAACTGTTCAAATGATGAGTCGGACTCTTTGCCATTTTAACCAGCTGCGTTTGCAAGTTCATAAACTCCACGAAAGAAAAGCTTTGTGGAATCTCTCAAAAGTGATTTTGTAGAGAAATAGTGGATCCTTTTGATGAAACCAAACGTATGTTTAAAGAAGGCTTTATGTGTGCAAAAAGTCCCTTTAAAGTTTGGCGCCGACTCATTCTCCCCAACCTAATAGTACGTAGTCTAGTTTTCAATCTTTAACAAGATCAAGATAGCAAGCCTCAAAGACAAGCCAATAATTGACCCCCGCTTTCCTTTGGTGAACCCATAAAGTGAGAGATCGGTGAAATTTTTTGATTTTTGATGGATATAGTGCAGTGACAAGAAAATAGAGTTGAGCTAGTTTTCAGTTTTTTAACTTAAAGAGGTTGGCTGAATAAGCGAAATGCTTTAGTGGACAAGAGACTGGACTTGATCCATTCATGGCAATACGATCAATCAGTTGAGCTACTAACGAGGGAACTACAACTACTTACCACATCAGATCGACTCCAAAATTACAGGGGGGAAAGATCATCACAAAAGAAGAATTTTCTGAAATTTTTAGCTGCTAAATGCCAGAACTAACTGAAATATAAGGTTTCAAAGTTCAAAGTAGCTTAAACTTAAACATTTTTGGGACTTGCACGGCACTCTTTAAAGGGAACTCTCACAGGCACTCTCACAGGTTAGCCGAGTGGCCGAGTGGTTAGGAGCGCGACCTGGTAGTCCGAAAAGGCGAGGATAACAAAATAAAAGGCGAGGATAACAAAATTTTATTTAAAACTAATAAACAACAAACAATTCAACAACGGTGGAAAGATTCGACAAAATGAAGGAAGCAGAATATATTCAGACAATAAGCACAACGAATGTACGGCATATTATCGCAATTTATCTTATTACATGCACCAATCAAATCTCCTGGGCAGCAAAAAGTTGCTGGTGTCACATAATGAGGAAGTACATCATCAATATAATGAGCGCTTTTCCAGGCTTCGAGCATTATGTGACACCAGCAACTTTTTGCTGCCCAGGAGATTTGATTGGTGCATGTAATAAGATAAATTGCGATAATATGGCATTTAGCAGCTAAAAATTTCAGAAGATTCTTCTTTTGTGATGATCTTTCCCCCCTGTAATTTTGGAGTCTATCTGAGGTGGTAGGTAGTTGTAGTTCCCTCATTAGCAAGTTTGGCCAGTTAACCTTCCCTTGTCAGTTAGCGTTTCAGGATTCTCAAGAGGGTAGCAAAAAAGCTCCCCGGCAAGGAGACAAGGCACGGAAAAGCAGTCGATCCAGCTGTCTGCATAGCGCATTGCCAGAGCGTCTGTCTGTTGCTCCGAGCATCGGTGGTTCGATCCCACTTGCTACCTGTGATTTTTGCAATTTTTATTATTCATTGGGTAGCTCTACCACAAGGAGGAAAGGCGGGGAAAAGCGGTTCTTTTCAACTTTCATCATGGCGCACTGCCAGAGCGTCGGTCTCTCGCTCCAGGCATCCCGAGTTCGATCCCGTTTGCTGCCATTGACTTTTGTAATTTTCATTGTTTAATGAATCTTTGCAGACGCAACTTTTCCTTTTCCAACTCGGAAAGCAAAACTTTCTATTGCCTTTGATATTGATAATTAAACCGTTGCTGAAAGCTGTGCTGAAGTGAGAAAGATTTATACAATACAATAATATTTCTCTATCCAAGACTGCTAGCAATCCTTGAGAGATTCGTGATATTTGAGTGACCAGTGACGGCTAAACGGGCTGCTAACGAGAATCGTCGAATCTTTCCCGCTCTCGCTTTTGATAACACAACGATAGTCGTTGCTTCAGCTGTCGAGAAGACTCGAGGCTCAAAAAGACCTAAACGTTGATCAAGTAATTGAACCAATCAATGCACCAGAAAGCTAGCGTTTCTCCTTTGCACAAAGTACGTATACTTGTACACTGTAGCTCTTTGGTGTACTGTAGCTCCTTGGTATACTGTAGCTCCTTGGTATACTGTAGCTCCTTGGTGTACTGTAGCTCTTTAATCTTTAGAGCTGTTTTTTGCTCAAATACCTTTTCTGGCCCATTGAAGCTTAAAACTTACACGGCAAGACTTTTGCGAGAAAATCCCAAACGATTTGCTCAACATAGGCATAGTATGGTCGATAGAGGGCCAAAGTGACGATTGTTGAAAGGAGACCGTGTTCGGCGATGAAAAAGACACCAAATGGGGAAATAGCTGAAAAGATTGGAGGTTACTTGGAATCAAATGGATGAGATTTAGCAGAGGAGCTCTTTGGTTTACTGTAGCTCTTCGGGTACTGTAGCTTCTTGGCCTACTGAAGCTCTAAGGCCTACTGTAGCTCTAAGGCCTACTGTAGCTCTTTGGCCTACTGTAGCTCTTCGGGTACTGTAGCTTCTTGGCCTACTGTAGCTCTAAGGCCTACTGTAGCTCTAAGGCCTACTGTAGCTCTTTGGCCTACTGTAGCTCTTCGGGTACTGTAGCTTCTTGGCCTACTGTAGCTCTAAGGCCTACTGTAGCTCTTTGGCCTATTGTAACTCTTCAGGTACTGTAGCTCTTTGATCTACTGTAGCTCTAAGGCCTACTGTAGCTCTAAGGCCTACTGTAGCTCTAAGGCCTACTGTAGCTCTAAGGCCTACTGTAGCTCTTTGGCCTACTGTAACTCTTCCGCTACTGTAGCTCTTTGATCTACTGTAGCTCTAAGGCCTACTGTAGCACTAAGGCCTACTCTCAAGCAAACTGTGATGTACTGTAGCCAGTATCCTTTACCCACCAACTAACGTGAGATTCCCGGTGAGCACCATGTAGATCCCGGCAACTATCGGCAGAAATATCGTCAGAAGTGGAATGGCCACTTGCAGAATGCATTTTTGGATCCATTTCCTCTGCAATTTGTACGTCTTCACGCTGATGATCGCGCGTCTCGCTCGCAAAACGTGGAAACAAGAGCCAACGATCACTGAAAGGTAGGGTTTTTCGTTTTGCATCTTACCATATCTATACTTTAATTAGATCTACTGTATTTTAGGGTACAAATCGTACACAAAAGTCTACAAAAGCCTACAAAAGTCTACAAAAGTCTAGAAATGTCTACAAATGTCTACAAAAGTCTACAAAAGCCTACAAATGTCCACAAATGTCTACAAAAGTCTACGCCGATTAGAAAGCTGGAGAAGTTGCATGGAAATGTCCAATTAAAACCTCTAAGCAAAACCAATCAAAATCTCCGATCAAAACCAATCAAAACCAATCAAAATCTCCAATCTCACCTCCAATCAAAACCGTCAAAATCCCTGTCCACGCAGAAACATTCAACGCAAAAATAAAACCCTTTCCCGGCGCGAAAGCATAAAAACGATCGATTTTGATGAATTGTTCAAATATTGGATATGTCTAAAGATTGAAAATTTCTCGATCAACCAATGAGCTTTCACTTTTAGATAAAAAGCTCTTGTCGCTTGGTCGTCATCATTGTAGAAAATGTAGACGAAGAGGCCACCCATGTGAAGATATGGCCAAAATTGGAGAATCATGTAGATTGGAGTGACGAATCTGGGTAAAGCAAAGGTAAAGCAAAGAAAATTTCGTTTTGGACAAATGTAGGAAATGAATCGGTTTAGTTACTCAATAGAAACACGAAATCATTAAATCCTAAGCCGATAAGCACTAAGAATGGAATGGAGCTGAGGGCCTGAGAATGGAATTTCTCTGTTTTCAAGAAAGCAAAAGTCTGTCGGACTCGAACCCACCGCAGAAAGCGGCATTGGTTCTATAGCTGGGCACACTAGCCACTAGGCCACCGCTGCTTCTAGCCACTAGGCCATCGCTGCTTTACTAATGGGTAACTAAACCGTATCTTCTGAAAGCTTCATGCCTAACATTGCAATGATTCAGCTGGTTGCTAGGTTTCAAGAAATCGACTGTAACAACTTGGGAAACTAAGCCTAGAGTTGCCTCTAGACCTAGAGTTGCCTCTAGACCTAGAGTTGCCTCTAGACCTAGAGTTGCCTCTAGACCTAGAGTTGCCTCTAGACCTAGAGTTGCCTCTAGACCTAGAGTTGCCTCTAGACCTAGAGATGCCTCTAGACCTAGAGATGCCTCTAGACCTAGAGATGCCTCTAGACCTAGAGTTGCCTCTAGACCTAGAGTTGCCTCTAGACCTAGAGTTGCCTCTAGACCTAGAGTTGCACTCACCGTGACGAGATTTTCATGAAATGTCCCTCAGGCATGATTGTCTGATGTCGAATCAAAAACATTGTCGCGATCAGTGAAACCATGTGGCCACCGAAGATGAAACCAAGAGCCTAAATTGCAGTCATTGCTTTTGGTGAGTTTCAAGAGCAAGTGCCACTTGGCGAACGCTGAACCGGTAATCGTTTGATCAATAAAATCTCTTAGCTATTTAGCTTCTTACCGTTTATAGATCCTTTAGAATAGCTAAAAATTGATAAAAGATATTGAGCTTTAAAGTTTTTAAGCTTTGTCAATTGAAGTTTTTAACAACTTATGTTCATTTATTTCGCATGCCTACAATTGTTTAGTTTTTCTTTAACTTTACACCAAGTTCAGTAACCTTATATTAGTTGAATTGAAACAGATAACTAAGCGACTTTTCTCCAAGCACTTCACTAGATTTGGGTTTGCTAGAGAACTTCTTTGTACAGATCAACAATTGCACGGTACTCACAATCTGCAATTGTGTTGAAACGCCGAATTTCCATAGCCATCCCATTGGAAGACCGCCGGGCACTGGGAAAATGAAGTACGGCGCCAGCGCCGATCCCACCAATGCATCAGTGATCAAGGAGAGAATCTGAGAGATTTTTAGATGAGATATCGATCCTCTATAAAACTTGATATGCGCACAGTGCTTGGCCATAGGTTCTCATACTGTTCGGTGTGTGGAAAGTGATCACGTAGAGGCCGAAGAGGTTGATGAGTGTGCCGAGAACTGAAAACTGACGACAACTTATCTGGTGAAGGCTCGTAAATGGTAGATAACGGATTTACAGGGAAAGGATTACAAATCCAGAAGCTAGATCCGATCTGGTCTAGCCAGAGGCCAGGGCTGAAGGCTGAAGCTAGATCTGAAGCCAGGTCTGAAGGCTAAAGCCAGGTCTGAAGGCTAAAGCCAGGTCTGAAGCCAGGTCTGAAGGCTAAAGCCAGCTCTGAAGCCAGCTCTGAAGCCAGGTCTAAAGCCAGCTCTGAAGCCAGGTCTAAAGCCAGCTCTGAAGCCAGCTCTGAAGCCAACTCTGAATCCAGCTCTGAAGCCAGCTCTGAAGCCAGGTCTAAAGCCAGGTCTGAAGGCTAAAGCCAGCTCTGAAGCCAGCTCTGAATCCAGCTCTGAAGCCAGCTCTGAAGCCAGGTCTAAAGCCAGGTCTGAAGGCTAAAGCCAGCTCTGAAGCCAGCTCTGAAGCCAGGTCTAAAGCCAGCTCTGAAGCCAGCTCTGAAGCCAACTCTGAATCCAGCTCTGAAGCCAGCTCTGAAGCCAGGTCTAAAGCCAGCTCTGAAGCCAGCTCTGAAGCCAACTCTGAATCCAGCTCTGAGCCAGCTCTGAGCCAGGTCTAAAGCCAGGTCTGAAGGCTAAAGCCAGCTCTGAAGCCAGCTCTGAAGCCAGGTCTAAAGCCAGCTCTGAAGCCAGCTCTGAATCCAGCTCTGAAGCCAGCTCTGAAGCCAGGTCTAAAGCCAGGTCTGAAGGCTAAAGCCAGCTCTGAAGCCAGCTCTGAAGCCAGGTCTAAAGCCAGCTCTGAAGCCAGCTCTGAAGCCAACTCTGAATCCAGCTCTGAAGCCAGCTCTGAAGCCAGGTCTAAAGCCAGCTCTGAAGCCAGCTCTGAAGCCAACTCTGAATCCAGCTCTGAAGCCAGCTCTGAAGCCAGGTCTAAAGCCAGGTCTGAAGGCTAAAGCCAGCTCTGAAGCCAGCTCTGAAGCCAGGTCTAAAGCCAGCTCTGAAGCCAGCTCTGAATCCAGCTCTGAAGCCAGCTCTGAAGCCAGGTCTAAAGCCAGGTCTGAAGGCTAAAGCCAGCTCTGAAGCCAGCTCTGAAGCCAGGTCTAAAGCCAGCTCTGAAGCCAACTCTGAAGCCAGCTCTGAAGCCAACTCTGAAGCCAGCTCTAAAACCAGCTCTAAAACCAGAACAAGAACAGACTATTGATCTGTTCTGATCTAATCTTTGAAACTCAGAACTCCTGCTGCTAACAGGATTCAGATCTTGTCCATTCCAAAACCAATATTTAAGCAAAACTTGTACACTCACTTGACGCGTAATCCATGACCACAAAAACGCCTTGATTCGTCTCGATGGGAAACGCTTTCGTCGTATCAGCAAGAAGCACCATGTTGCCCATTAACACCGTGAAAATCGACACTATGAAAATGGGTTTGCGGTTAAACAGGAGGCAGAATTTGAAGGAAAGATAAAGCCAACTCTAAAGCCAGGTCTGAAGCCAGGTCTGAAGCCAGCTCTGAAGCCAGCTCTGAAGCCAGGTCTAAAGCCAACTCTAAAGCCAACTCTAATGCTAAATTTAATGCTAAATTAATACTAAATTAAATGCTTACAAGAAAATAAGTGCAAATGGTTTCTTTTTCAAAAAATACAAGATAATCATTTTTTGTTTGCGTAAAAGATTAAAGTATTGGTTGAACAGGTGTTTCTTTCAGTCCTAATTAATCTTTTAAAAGAAAACTTTCAGAAAAGCCCTTCAAATGTTGATGATTTCATTGAAAAAGCGAAGAAAATCGAGCGTTGTTTTTCTGTTTTTCGGGAAAATCTTTTTGTTTTCTATGAAGAATTGGGAAATTTGCTTATACAATTTGCTTGTACAAGCAAATCAAATGGTTGTTCGGATCTAAACAAGCGTTGTTAGAGCTTTTGGATGACTCTAGATGACCTTTAGATGAGTTTAGATGACCTTTAGATGAGTTTAGATAACCTTTAGAAGACTCTAGATGACTCTAGATGAGCCTAGATGACTCTAGATGAGTCTAGCTGACTCTAGATGAATCTAGAGGACTCCAGATGACCTTTAGATGACTCTAGATGACTCCAGATGACTCTAGATGACTCCAGATGACTCTAGATGACTCTAGATGACTCTAGATGACTCTAGATGAATCTAGATGACTCTAGATGAAGCTAGATGACTCCAGATGACTCTAGATGAATCTAGATGACTTTAGATGACTCTAGATGAATCTAGATGAATCTAGATGACTCTAGATGACTCTAGATGACTCTAGATGACTCTAGATGAGTCCAGTTGACTCCAGATGAGTCCAGTTGACTCCAGATGACTTTAGATGACTTTAGATGAGTCCAGCTGACTCCAGATGACTTTAGATGATCCTAGATGACTCTAGATGACTCTAGATGACTTTAGATGATCCTAGATGACTCTAGATGACTCTAGATGACTCTAGATGACTCTAGATGACTCTAGATGAATCTAGATGACTCCAGATGACTCTAGATGACTCTAGATGACTCTAGATGACCTTTAGATGACTCTAGATGACTCTAGATGACTTTAGATGACTTTAGGTGAAGATATCCAATTTTGGATACCTTCACGGGTTTGGCGCCAAGTTTTTCGAGTGACAGTCGGCAGAGTTCTTCAAGAGCGGCATGAATTCTTTGCGCAAAAGATGGCAAGAAGTAATCAATAATAATGGTGAATAAATTTTGGATTAAACTGTGTTGTTTTTGAGTCTAGGAAAGCCTTGGATACTGTATTTGATAGAAATGGCAGTCTGGGAAAGCTTGGCCAGCCTTGGAATCAATAATAATGGTGAATAGATTTTGGATTAAACTACTAAAAAGGCTAAAGCGACTAAAACGACAATTAAAACGCTCCGAAAAGCGTTTATAACCGAAAAACCGATGATTTTGTTGAGAAAATGCTTTTATTTATGCGAATTTTTGAAGGAAATTCGAAATTTGAAAGGAAATTTGAAAGAAAATTCGAAATTTAAAAGGATTTGGTGGGTAAAATTGGGAAAATAAAGAAGGAAATATTGGGAATAAAGATTGGAAATCAAGATTTTTGGTCTATTTTGGAAGAATTCGGGAGATCGTCCAGAGTTGAGGCTTTTTTTCGCGTTCTTCCACGGGTTTTGTGTCGGCGAGAGGCTAAATGCAAAGAAATCGATCGAAATTTGAATTTTAAAGCCTCCGAGTACAGTTGTTACCAGTTGTTCGAGCTGTGCTTTGAGCTCAAAAAAACGTAAACACACCCTTTCTAGTGTACTCGATTCTTCGCTGAAGCGAAAAGCGAAAAGCAAAGATTTCGGTGCACTAGAAGGGTTTAAAAAGTGAGTAAGTACGTAAAGTACGTACAGTAAAGTGCAAAGTGAAGTACAGAGTACATGAACAAAGCACAGAGTACATGAACAAAGTACCAAGTACGAAGTACAGAGTACCAAGTACAAAGTACCAAGTACAAAGTACGAAGTAAAGAGTACCAAGTACAAAGTACCAAGTACAAAGTACAAAGTAAAGAGTACAAAGTACAAAGTACAAAGTACAAAGTACAGAGTACAAAATACAGAGTACAAAGTACAGAGTACAAAGTAGAAAGTACATAGTACCAAGTACAGAGTACAAAGTGCCAAAGTACAAAGTACATAGTACATAGTATATAGTACAAAGTACAACGTACATAGTACAAAGTACATAGTACAAAGTACAAAGTAGAAAGTACATAGTACCAAGTACAGAGTACAAAGTACACAAAGTACCAAAGTACAAAGTACATAGTATATAGTACAAAGTACAAAGTACATAGTACAAAGTACATAGTACAAAGTACAAAGTACAAAGTACAGAGTACAAAGTACATAGTACATAGTACAAAATGCAGAGTACAAAATACAGAGTACAAAATACAGAGTACAAAGTACATAGTACAAAGTGCTAAGTACAAAGTACATAGTGCAAAGTACCAAGTGCAAAGTACATAGTACCAAGTACCAGAGTACAAAGTACATAGTACAAAGTACCAAAGTACAAAGTACCAAAGTACAAAGTACATAGTACAAAGTACATAGTACAAAGTACAACGTACATAGTACATAGTATAAAGTACATAGTACAAAGTACGCGAAAGTTTACCTCAACTTCACTCGATATTTGAATAGGTTCAGTTCGTAGAAAGTCGAAATTTGGAGCGAGAAAGTGTGGCGCCATCGGTAGTGTCAATAGAGGTAAGAAGGGAGTGCTGAAGGGAGAGAGAAGGCCTGCAAGTGTCAAGGTTATTGTTTTATTAAGGAGATTGTCTGTTTACTAGATTAAGAAGTCATTATTGCCAGTGGAATGTGTACAAAGGCGATCGTACTATTCACTACACGAGATCAACAATTGGATGGTACTCACAAGGCTACACTAGACTACACTAGGCTACACTAGGCTACACACCAACTACAAATCGGGGTCTACTGCAAAATAGGGGCAGCCTACTCAAAGGAGGCCTAGACCCTACCAATATAAACACAAAGCGACTTCTAATTCTATACAGTACCCTACCTGCACCCGGGAATAATGGCGGTAAAATGTTGAATAGATTTCCGTTGGATGGGACGGAGCTTCGTTGCACCGAGGTCAACAAGGAGACTCGTTCTGAAAGACTCGGAGACTCGTTCTCATCAATTTATCAATGGATCAAGATAAAGGAGAAAGAACGAAGCTTTATCAAGCGGTTGGCTTCAAGCAGTTGGCTCTGATTTTCTTGGAAACCTTCTTTTTTTTTCTTCTCCAACCTTCTTTTCTCATCCCCATCCGCACGCATTTCCTCAATCGACAATATTGGCATTGATTTCGGTGATTGATGTCAACTGGGCAATTCTTTTGACCCCGACACGTGTAGGAGAGGGATCGACGGATTGATCTGTGATCAGAGCTGTGATCTCGATACCTTTTGGAATCTTGATACCTCTTGAAAAACGATTTGCATCCTTCGCACGAGTTTTGCCCGTAATGCTTTCCACTTGATTTGTCTCCACAAACAACGCATTCACCGCCTAGAATTGAAAACTTTAGAGCTGACAAGAGCTGAGATATAATAGCTGAGATATAATAGCTGAGATATAAGAGCTGAAATTTAAGAGCTGAGATATAATAGCTGAGATATAATAGCTGAGATATAAGAGCTGATATATAAGAGCTGACCGCTCTCCTTAAGCTCTTGTCAGCTTTTCGGATATTTTAAAATGAGTCGTCAAGCTTTGAAAGCCTATAACTTTGTCTAAAGCTAACATTATTCAGATCTTTTTTATATCATTCGATAGAGGAGCTTTTAGGCTTTCGAATGATACCAAAAAGAATTTAATTGAATAATCCAGTCCAGAAAAATCAGCCGACAAAGTATCGAGTTGGGATCTTAGAGGTTTTCTGAGAGTTGGCGGTCAGAGTTGGCTTTGATTTTTCTGGACTCGATTATCCAATTAAACTCTTTTTGGTATCATTCAAAAGCCTGGAATGTCCTCTATTCAATTATATAAAAAGATCTAAATATTGTTAGCTTTAAACAAAGTTATCCAAAAGGTGTTGAGTCATTGGATAAATGGGATTTAGGGTATTAAATGGAGTCGTCTAAGCTTTTGAGGCCCCATAACTTTGTTTAAAGATAACATTATTCAGATCTTTTTATATCCTTGGATAGAGGACATTTCAGGCTTTTGAATGATACTAAAAAGAGTTTAATTGGATAATTGAGTCCAGAAAAATCAAAGCCGACAAAGTTGGGATCTCAGCAGGCCTCTGAGATTGGATCCCAAATTTGTCGGCTTTGATTTTTCTGGACTCAACTATCCAATTAAACTCTTTTTGGTATCATTTGAAAGCCTGAAATGTCCTCTATCCAATGATATAAAAACTTAGCAATAATGGTATCTCTGGACAAAGTTATAGGCTTTCAAAGCTATGTCGTCCGGACGTCATTCAAAGTGATTTCAGTCAGCTGTCAGCTCTTATATCAAAATCTTTTAAGTACAATAACTCAGCCTGATCTTCTGAAAACCCGACAAGAGCCCTAGATTCTTATGCTAGATATTATAAGTATCAAATCCTAGTATTTTCTACCTGTAGACTCAGTCGTGACTCCGTCAACGAGTCCCAGTGACAGCGTGGAGTTTGAAGATGACGGGAAATCCTAGAAAACTTCTTGATTTCTTCTTGATTAGCTAGATTCATAGAAATGTTCGAAATTTTAATCCATTTCAGCTTTCTCTTGGATTTGAAGATTTCTGGTTGAAGATTTCTGGATTTCAACAAGGGGAAAGAGAGAACCCCGCTTTTCAATTTCAAAGAGGGAACCCCGCTGGGGTAAGCATCTGCCTTGTCCCCTCACTGACACCCCCATCCTCCCGCGAAACGACCATTTCCACTCTCATAAATCTTTTCTTTTCTTTTTTTCTTGATCATTATGAACTCTTAATCTCAATCGGCTTTATCTAAATGGTTTTGAGTTGAAGAAGCGATTCGTTAGCTGTTGTTGAGCTTCATTAAGCTGTTGTTAAGCTTCGTTAAGCTTCATTAAGCTTCGTTAAACTTCATTAAGCTTCGTTAAACTTCATTAAACTTCATTAAGCTTCATTAAGCTGTTGTTAAACTTCATTAAGCTTCGTTAAGCTGTTTTTTAGCCTGTTTTTAGCTAGTATTCTATGGGTTTTGAAATAAGAAGAACAGAAATAGGAAGAACAGAAATAGGAAGAACAGGAAGAACAGGCACAGGAAGAACAGGGATAGGAAGAACAGGAAGAACAGGGATAGGAAGAACAGGAATGGGAAGAACAGGAATAGGAAGAACAGGAACAGGAAGAACAGGGACAGCAGCTATCAAACTCTAAGCACAATCCTCCAGATCTATATCCATTGAAAATCTATTCTAAGGTTAGATTTATTCTGATTTATTTATGTAAGGTATCTGTCCTTTTTTTGACTAGGTTTTTGTCCTTCCCCATCCCCAAACACTTTCAATTCTTTCTCTTTTGTCAGTTGAATCATCCAATTGCATAGGGAGGGGGATTACCCTTGAGGGTCTTTAAGGCAGACCCCAGGGCAATCAACCAGCTCTTTCAAACTCTGAGAACCCAGGGATACGGTAGTGAGTTTCTAGTTGGAAAAAATGGCCATATTTTCGTCAAGTTTAGCATTAAATGCTAAATAGTGGATTTAAAATTGATCTTAGAATGAAATTTGCCAGGTCAGACCACTCATGACCATTTTGGGATATCAAGCTATGTCATGGTCTTGACCTAGTACTGGCTCAGGCTTAGGCTCAGGCTTAGGCTTGGAGGGGAAGGGCTTAGGCTTAGGCTTAGGCGTAGGCTCAGGCTTAGGCTTAGGCTCAGGCTCAGGCTCAAGCTCAGGCTCAAGTTTATCTTGCTAAACTACCAGCCCTTGAGTTTTGCCCTTGAGTTCAAAAGGCGATCGTTCTTCATAAACCAACAATGACTTCAAGAGCTTTTAAGCCAGAGAGCCATTCGCCAGCTTAAGCCAGCCATTCGAAATTAACTTCACAATCAGCCGTCATTGGCTTTGGCACAAAAAAAGCACAAAACTTTGGGTAAATCAACTCTCTGTTGAAGAAAACTGGCTGCCAGCGCTGTTCGTTTCAAAGTTTAAGCTCAAAGTAAGTAAATCAACTAATAGATTTATCGATTGCCGAAAAGAAGTGTTTAGCTTTTTAGAGAGCTTTGTATTACGAGATACTTTAAGGTGACTGAGCTTCGAGAAAATCGACAACTTAAGTGGATAGGAAAGCGCTAGCACACTATCCACTTAGGGTTAAGTCTTCGAGAAACTGAGCTTCGAGAAAATCGTCAACTTAACGCTAAGTGGATAGCGCTTTCCTATCCACTTAAGTTGACGATTTTCTTGAAGCTCTGGATGAATCAAGGGTGTTTCGTTAATGCCTTGCTTGCTTAATAACGTGAATGCCTTGCTTGTCTCTATTTTATGCACCTATCTCTCCACCCGATCATCTATTCTTTTACCCCGTTTTCCCTCAAAAAGGATCCAAAACCCTCAGGACTCTTAAAAAGGCCAAAAAGGGGACCATAATCCATCTCCTTTCACCCAAAAATCGTCCCCAACTAAGCCCGTTGTTCCTTTTTGTGAAAGAAAAAGAAAGCAGGACGAAGATTGAGTAAATCCTAGTTATCTTTTTGATCTTGCTCCTACATAAATCCACACAGGTCAGGGGTTTTCGAGTGCGATTTTGGAGTTTAGTTAGAATGTTAGATGGTTAGAATGGTTAGAATGGTTAGAATGTTTTCAAGTAGTTTAGTCAAAGTTTTCTAATCCAATCAAATCAAATCAAATCCAATCCAATCCAAACCATTCCAATCCAATCAAATCCAATCATCCAATCCATTCCAATCCATTCCATTCCAATCCATTCCAATCCAATCCAATCAAAATCTTCCAAATTCAAAACTAATTCAAACCTTTTTGCTAATCAGAGAACTTTAGAGCACTTTAGAGCAAAATCAATCTTTATGCCTTGCAAGAAGCAAAAGTCTTGATTCGAACCAAAGACCAGGAAAAGCGCTAGTACACTATCAACTAGGCTACAAAAGCACATCAATGGATCGGTATCAAAGCTTTAAGTAGGCAACGCTGGCTTTAGTACAACCCTGGCTTCAATCCTAGCTTCAACCCCAGCTTCAACCCCAGCTTCAATCCTAGCTTCAACCCCAGCTTCAACCCTAGCTTCAACCTAGCTTCAACCCCAGCTTCAACCCTAGCTTCAATCCTAGCTTCAACCCTGACTTGAATCCTAGCTTCAATCCTAGCTTCAACCCCAGCTTCAATCCCAGCTTCAACCCCAGCTTGTAATCTGTTCAAAACCTTTACCATACCGTCAGCAGAAGATTCGGTTGTCGCCTCGGCTCAGCGCTGAGACTTCGTTGAAGCCACTGGGCAATCTTAAAGAACTTTCTTTAGTTAGTCACTGATCCAACTTGTAAATGACTGAATCTATTGTGAATCCCGTGAAAAAAGCGACCCTACATGATCAAACGCTTAACCAATGAGCTACCAACATTGCTTACAATCTAACATTTTGTCTACCTGCGTCTACCTGATTCTGCGGGAAAGTGGTGTCTCTGGGTAGCATGAAGCTCGTCAATGACCACAAAAATTGAATTGAGAATGGAAATTTCACTCACAAGTACAGTAGTCAAAGTACAGTAGACAAAGTACAGTAGTCAAAGTACCGTAGCCAAAGTACAGTAGACAAATCGTGAAGAGACAATGGCTAATAGATGGAGAAAATTCTCGAAACCCCTGAACTCTCCCGTTCCAGTGTTGGCCTTTGAGTGGATTCCCGGGGCGGGGCCGGGCCTCGTCCAGCCTCCAATCATCTCACTCCTGACATTTTGAGTTAAACACTTCAAAGCTGGTAGGTAAATTTGGCTCAATTGTCCATTCTTCTGTAAACTCTTGCATAGTCTCCAATATAAGCACTCTTCTTTCTGGCATTAGACTTCTTCTCGGTATGTTTTGAGTTAAACCGGTAAACGCACTCTTTCTAGCGCACTGACTGCTTTCTTTTGCATCTTTCTCTGCTCTCTTGCACAAATCAAGTGCACCAGAAGGGTTGCGTTTACACGTTGTTTAAGCACAAAGTACATGAAAGACTGTAAGACAGCAGAAATTGATCCGAAGAGCAATAACGTTTCTCAGTTTTCAAATTCTTTTGCATTGAATTCTTTCTTTTGCGGTCCCCGAGCGCTCATAATGCATAAAATGGTTGGATCTCAGGGCTAGAGAATGTGAATGGGTGGAAATGAGTGCTGTGCTCGGTCTCGGCCAATAAAATGAGGGCCACCGAGTGAGTCTCTTGGGCCATCATCTTGGGCCATCTCTCGACACCCAACCGACAAGAAGCTAAGGCTAAGGCTAAGGCGAGTGCATCAACACATTTTATCAAAATTGAGATCTAAAATCTAATATCAACAACCTATAGTCTCCCTTGAAGTAGGTGTTTTCTAAAACGAGAATCATAAACCCCTTGTATGCTCCAAAGTGCTCCTAAAGTACACCTTTTACTAGATGAGACATCTAGATGAGACATTTGCACTACCGTAACCCAGGGGTGCACTTTGTTATGGAGACACACTTGAATTTGATCTCATAAGAAATCGGGTCCTCAAAAGAGGGCAAGGGAATCGAATTTTGAAGAAAGAATCACCGGGAGACCCTTTGTCGACCCGCCTAACGAACCACGATTTGGCCTTGGAGGGCCTGGAGGGCCAAGAGTGGAGGGCCAAGAGGTGCCAGGATTTGCGCCCTAGAAGGTCCTTGAGATAAAGAATTTGCTTTAACAAAGCTTCCCCCAAAAACGTGATTCTTTTCAAGAGACAAGAAAAGCCATTTATCACAGACAATATCACAATTAAACGTGACAAATTTACAAATTTATATATTAACTATCGTTTGTTTATTCACAGACGTTCAAGAAATTCTAAAAAAGATTATTTACCCAAAAAGAATGTCCTCGTTTTCTCAACAGCGTCACTAATCGGCACATTTCTCGTCAACCTTGACCCAATCCAAGCAGACAATTGAGCGGAGACATTTTGCGTTGAATATCTAAAACGAGAGCTTTCTTTAATAGGATCAGAAACTTATTTTGCACCTTAAAAGATTTGCCTATTGATTTGCCTTACAGTAAGACAGCTACAGTAAGACCACAGTAATACCGTAATCTTTCATTAAGCTAGCCCTGGCTTAAGGGATTTGCGTATAAAGAATTACAGTAAGACTAACAAAGCTTCTTCTACAATAAGACTAACAAAGCTTCTTCTACAGTAAGACTACAGTAATCGCATTACATCTAAGAGCGAAAATCCAAACCTCGCATCAAAAAAGAAGATCATCGCGTAGTCGTGTCGATGGCGAATCGCTCGGCCAACAGCTTGATTCACCGAGTGCATACAAAGCGATTCGTAGAGACGACTCGCACTCCCGGCACGCTGTGATTCGGCAAACTGAAAAAGGTTAAAAAAACTGTTGGAAGTTGAAGCTAGTCTTAGTTGAAGGAAGTTGAAGTTAGTTTAGTCTAGCAACCAATAACTAGCTTTTTACAAGCAACCAATCATTCTGTTTCTCGACCAAATTCTCAAAACTACTCACCCTCATTCGTTCCTTCAACTCGGGACTATTTTTGTTCGGATAGGGCATGCCGATGATGAAAACGGCTCGTCCCAGTGAGTCCGAGAAGTTTATTCCTAAAAATAAAATTATTTATAGAAATTGCGTTTAGATTTTGTACGTAGAAGTGATCAAGTTTTATAAAAAAAAAATTCTCAAACCTTCTGAGAGTTTTCCACCAATCACCGCACAAAGTAAGGCGCCTCTTTCCTGGACAGCTTTCTCCGAATATCTAAAAGAATACTTGATTCAACTTGAAAACAAAAGAAAAGCTGTACCTCGTCAAAAGATCATTCGACGAGGCTCGGCTCTCGGTGAACAAGTCCTTTAGCTTCTAAATTTTAAAACCATTATCAAGATTCTGTAATCAAATGAAAAATGACTGATTCTAAAGCTAAATGATTGATTTGTAAAGCTAAATGAATGATTTCTAAAGCTAAATGATTGATTCTAAAGCTAAATGACTGATTCTAAAGCTAAATGACTGATTCTAAAGCTAAATGACTGATTCTAAAGCCAATACCTGTATTTTCTGTAAATTCCCGTTCTTCCTTGATTGCTCAACGAAAAAGTCCAAGTAGTCGTAGCTGGGAAAGAAAATCACACAACCATTTGGCACTTTTGATATCTGAAAATGCTCGAATCAGTATCAAAAGTCTATAAAAACCAATTGTGCAATCATTTCCCCTATCGAGTGTATCAAACGAGGATCCGAGCGCGTTTCGAAGGTGATTTGCAAAGGTCGACCATCTGTGCACTTATCTAAAAAGTCATATTCTTCAATTCGTTAAATATAAATTCCAATTCAATATCAATTACCAGTATCAGTTCCAACTCACCGATCGCCAGAACTCCCAATTGATTGTCGTCGATCACATGAGAGCACGAAAAACGACGAATTGATGATGGAGAGAGGCCAGAAGAGACGAGAGAATCCACAAGAAACGATGACGGTTCCATTGTGCCACCTGAATGAAAGGATTATAAGTGGCAATTACAGGATTGACTTTAGTCAAACTTCTTCACACACCAATGAGAATCGTGGCCCGCGGTTGCTTGAGCACATCCATCAACTTTGATCCGGGGTTAAGCAGAATGAAGCGGAATCTAAAAGTAATTCTTAGAAGCTCTCAAAAGGAAGCTCTTGTTTATCCCTTTAAAAGCCCTTACTTCGACTCAGTTTTTGTCTTCACAACGATCACTCGAGCATCATCGCATTTGTTCGTCAATGCATCGATAAACGACTGAATCACGTAAATTGAAGCGGCCATTTGGAGAGAAGATGGGGCTGATTTTGATGGAGCCGCCGCGGCCGATTCTAGAAAAGATAAATAAAAAGCAATTCTTGAAAGAATGTATTGAATGAACAATAAATGAAAACATCCACTAAATCGGGAATCCAACCTTCCACTTTCAAATTTGTTTCATTCTTCGGTTTTGCTAGCAACCGTTGAATTCCCGTCGTTTTTGGCGTTGTCTCCTCTTTGAGTTTTCGATTTGCAAGTCTAAATACAAAATATATAAAAATCTATCTTTATAGTTTTAAGATTATAAAAGAATTTGTTAAAAGTTACCCACCTAAAGCTATATCCGTGTAATTTCCGACAAATGAACGATCCCTTCAGATAAGTCGACAATTTGTGCACATTCACTTCGGTGAGATTTGCCTAAAAAAAATCGATTTCATAATTTCAGCTTTAGAATCTGTAAAAATTTAGAGAGATAAGGAATCAAAATTAGAGAGATATGGAACGAAATTTAGAGATAAGGAACCAAATTTAGAGGGATAAGGAACCAGATTTAGAGATAAGGAACCAAGATTAGAGAGATAAGGAACCAAATTTAGAGAGATAAGGAACCAAATTTAGAGAGTAAGGAACCAAGATTTAGAGATAAGGAACCAAATTTAGAGATCAGGAACCAAATTTGTAGAGATAAGGAACCAAATTTAGAGATAAGGAACCAAATTCAAATCTGTAAAAAAAACAACAAATTTATCTAGAGCATAAGTCTTGAAATCAAAACCCACTTTGATGAAGAACCCTTGAATCGTCGAAACTTCTTGAAATTCGGCGGGCAACTTGGTGAAGTAGAGTTGTAAACGTGAGAGAAGCTAAAAAAAAACAGGCATCAATGCAGTTTACCGTATTTACTCTAATAGAAGATCATGCTCTTCTATTTTTCAACGCCCCTCTCAAAGTTTCTTTTATCGAAGACTGCTATTCTATGCCTAAGCAACTTCTTTATTTCGAAAGCAATATTTCTAAAGCCAATAACAATATGTACAAATAACAATTAGCTAACAAAAACAATCAGAAACATCAAACAAACAAACAGTACCCTCGATTTCATTGCCGTTAGAATCGCCGACTTCAATTGAGGACTCTCGTAGTCCTTGTTTTCCTCGTCTTCACCCAGATCAATTTCGTCATTTCTGGCTTGAAGAGTTGAGCAGTTGAGCTCGATGTCGTTTTGCTTGCACAAATTCTTCGCTTTCTCTTGAACCAGTCTTCTTGAAACTTTATTTTTCTACAAACGCTCGCCTTCACCCATTCGGTCAGCTCAAGATCGAGCTGCTTGTCCGTCAGTTTTCTCCGTCTTTTACTCTTTTAAACGATTTCCCCATTTTCCGCAATGTCCCTTTGTGACATCCATTTTTAAATCATGGCTCAGGTGACTCGAAACTTCTCGCTCGCATTCTTTCTTGAAATCTTCTTGGCATACTCGATTGCCTTCAGCTTGGGTCGATCGTATTGCTTTTCGCTTTCTTCTCTTTTTTGTCAACTCCTGATCGAGCTCATCCACAGATTCGTGTCCTGACTCAAGGATTGGATCTTTTCCCGGCTCCATATTTGCATTCTCTTCATACTCTCGATTTTCCATCCAAGAAATCCAAGAAAGGGTATACGGTAGGCAAACTAGTGCATTTTATTAGTCGTGTTTTTCTATCAGAGATTTTCTATCACTGCTCTTCTATTTTTCAACCCGGCTCCCCAAAAGTTCTTCTATTGGAGACTGCCTTCTATTGGAGACTGCTCTTCTATTAGAGTAAAATACGCCAGTTAGTTTGAAATAGAAATTTACCATAAGCAACATCCGCATGTAGAGCAAATTCTTCGCCTTGAGTCTCGTCTTGTAGAAATCGACATAGCTTCGCACCAATTCAAGGGATAATGTCAACGCATTCACCGAGAGTTCCGAACTGTTCACAGAAGCTAAAAATGATTTTTTTTTTAATTTTCTGCCCCTTACTAATCGTGTTGAGCACATTGTGCGCCTCGTCGAGCACCAAAATGTTGTCGTTTAAGTCAACTTCCCAGGAGTTGCGCGTGAATTCGTGAAGGATCACCTAAAAATGATGAATTTTTAGCTGTTTTTGACAAAATGATTACCTGATATGGTAGCAAAACAATCTCGCAAAGAGGAATCGCTTTTCTCGAGCCAAAATACGCACATCCTTCCAGTTGCTTTGCTTTCGCGATCACCGCCGAGGGATTCGTATCACATCCTGAACTTTTGGTGGTTTAAAAGAATGTTAGAAGAATTACCAGTTAAGATCCCATTTGTCACATCCTCAATGTTGTCCGACTTGTAGAATTGACACGTTTTCGCACCACAGGACTTCTAAAAGTTAACAATATAATTGCAATTGTTAAACTTCGCGCAATAGGACTTCTAAAAGCTAACGATATGATTGCAATTGTTAAACTTCGCGCAAAGGACCAAAAGTTAACGATAGAGCAAGAAACCGACAAAGGACCAAAGACGGGCAAGAACCGCGGCAAAGACGGCGACCGCGCAAGGACCAAAAACGAGGCAACCCCCAACCCAGCAAAAAACGGGCAAGTAACTTCGTACAACAGGACTTCTAAAAGTTAACGATATGATTGCAATTGTTAAACTTCGCACAACGTTGTACCTTTTCCCCCGGTTTCCTCTTGTGACTGGTTTCCTTGTGATTGTTTCTCAATTCTTGACATCTCTCATTGATTAAACTTGTCGACGTCAATTTTCTCACATCTTCATTCACACATAGCGTTTGTCGAGAGGCGCCGATGACGATACGCGGTTGAAATCTAAAGAAATCGATTGCACTAGATCGGTTTATCATATAAATGTTGAATCTATTGTCTTGTCTATTATCTTGTCTATTGTCTTGTCTATTGTCTTGTCTATTGTCTTGTCTATTGTCTTGTCTATTGTCTTGTCTATTGTCTTCTCCATTGTCTTGTCTATTGTCTAGTGTCCATTAGACAAGACAACTCTTCACTTTTAAGATTCATTTAAAACCACACCTTGTTTTCTTCACTTCTTGCACGAGTTGTTCCAATTGAGAGTGAGTGCGGCTTGCGTAGAAGATCTGAAGATAAAGTTATTTTCTGAGTCAATTCAATCAGGTAATTATCAAATTCAAAACATTCAAAACAAACCTTTGTCACTTTTAACGCTGTCACTTCATCGTCATCCTTTTTCGATTTCGAGGCATCATCATCCGAATCGTAGTCATCTGCTGGAGCACACTAAAGCAAACTTTACAGTTATCTAATACAGAGCAAACTTTACAGTTATCTTTAACAAGTTACCAAATTCTAATAAAGCTTTAGCAAAAACACACTTCATCTTCTTCCTTTTCTGGCAGTAAATCCGCATCTGCATCTTCTTTTGTCGATTCTTTCCAATTTCCTTTTCGTTTTCTCGATGTTTGTTCCTCGTCTTTCGATTGTCGCGCTTGTTTCAGCCGCTCGTCGATCAATCTTAATCAGAAAGTTATTGAATTGTAGCTTTAGCAACATTTAACCATTTAAACAGTTCATTTAACCATATTAAACAGTTCATTTAACCATATTAAACGGTTCATTTACCCAAATTCCTTCACCTCAGCACCTCCAAACGATCTTTCGCCTCATCCACTTCTTTGTTGTTGGCCAACTTCTTCTTGTGTTCCGCGATCCAATCGTTAACTATATTCAATTTTTTTAAAAATAGAAACTCAATCAATGCACCCGCTTTTTCTTCTTTCACTCCTTTTTCCTTTGTTTCATCGATGATTCGTTTCAACTCTCGTTTTTCTTTCTCCGCGTTCTTCTCCAACCACGTCAACGTCGAGCATAGCACGGAGAGCGATTTCCCAGTGCCCGTCGGAGATTCGAAGATTCCTACCTAAAAAAAAATTCTATATTACGATAAAAAGACTAAATCTAAACTAAATCCACTATTAAACATCAAATTAATCAACAATTAATCAACAATTTCAATCAACAATTAACAACAAACAAACAAACAAGTAAATCACTTTTAATCATCAAAACACGATAACTTTACCTGTTTTCTCTCAATACACTCATTAATTTCGTTCATTAGCCTCATCTGAATCTCATAGGGTGGATAGGGAAACGAGTAGGGCCGTCGATCGTTCTCTTTCTCTTCATCTTTGTCACTAAAATTAGAAAATCTTCAAAAGAACAAGATCAACAACACAATTTTGATAGAAAAATGATCAAAAATTCCTTAAAAGCATTTCAACCAACAGATTTTAAACATTAAATGTTTAAAAATCCATAAAATCCTCACCATTCTCGTCTCAAAGCGTTTATCATCCTCGAACCGATGACATCAACGGGTTCTAAACTTTAAAAAATCGACTTTTAAACTATTCAAAAAAAAACATGGAAAGGCACGTTTTTGAACAAAAAAATTGAAATTCTACTCGAGCTAAAACTCGAGATTTTTTGTAATTTGTGTTATACTAGTTTGGGGCTCACGCTGAATCGAATGAAAATGATTTTAGCTGAGAAAAATTTCAAAAACTATTAATAACAACATATTGATCAATAAATAGCAACAAAAAGCCACATTTCTCTATCCCTTGCTATTGTCATCCAGTGTTTCCTATCTTGGTTGTTCCAGGTTCGAAGTCTTCCACTTGCTTGTGCTGGTGGTTGCACTCTAGCCATCCTTTCTCTGACCGTCTCTGCCACTCTTGTGCTCCATCTCGTTGCTGGTCTTCCGATGGGCCTCTTCTGGTCTATCTTGGTTGTTCCTGGTTCCTATCCTATCTTGGTTGTTCCAGGTTCGAAGTCTTCCACTTGCTTGTGCTGGTGGTTGCACTCTAGCCATCCTTTCTCTGACCGTCTCTGCCACTCTTGTGCTCCACCTCGTTGCTGGTCTTCTTCTGGTCTCTTCTGGGTCTCTTCTGGGTCTCTTCTGGTCTCGTGGTATCATCGGCTACGACAACATAACAACATATTGATCAATAAATAACAAAAAAAAGCCTAGTAAAGTGGATAGCGATTAGCAACATCTTCCCAAAACAAATACAGACCCACTCCATCAAAAGATTGAACACAAATCTAGCCTAGCAGCATTATTAATAATAATACTTTATTCAAACGATAAAGTGAAAGAAATCATAGAGAAATGCACAGTGATACTTAATCATACAATACATACTGAAATCAATAAGCCAATTACTTACGGCAAAGAGCCACTAGATCTAAAGCATCGATACGTTTCTTGAATATGAAAAGCGACTGAATTTCTCGTATGTCGTTTGGGAGCAAGTTCCATAATCTAGCGGCTTATTAGAATAAAAGACATTAAAAAACAGATATCAACTAAACATCCATTTTGAAATCATAAAAAAATAATTTTCTTTCGAATTTGGAAAATTTTTCATTCTCATTCGATTCCTAGTTTGAAAACCTAGAAAATAAAAAAATTTGAGTGTTAATTGTAAATTTCCTTGACCAAATTTTGCTTGCTTTTCAATTTGCTCCCTCTTCAGCTATTATAGTACTATGAATGTTAAAAAATGTTAAAAATGTTAAAAATGCAATGTTAAAAACTCTATAAGCTTGCTAAAAGCTCAATGATACACAGAAAATGCAAAAATTTAAATCAGTAAACACTTTTCAGCTTAAAACTTCAAATAAACCCTTCACATAAACCTCTTTTCTTCAAATTTCATGTCGTAATTTTCTTGAACCCGGGTGATTTGGCTGTAAATTAGTGTCTAGACGTAGCTATAAAAGGAAATAGTGAAAATTTTGACGAAAAAGTGAATGAACAAAAATCCAGAAAGAAATTAGGTCAAATTATTAGCTCAAACAAAAAAAAAGGAATATATTAGGTGTGTGAAAAAGTAATCGACGTTTTTGATTTTTATTTTGTTTAAATAAATATATCTAAACAATTTTTAATTTTTTTTTGTTAACGATATATATATCGTTTAAAAGCTTATTTTTTCCTCTTTCGAATGATATATTTATTTTGTTGAAAGGACGACAATAAACTACTTTCATTTTAGTTTGAAAATGGTATACACAAGTATCGTTATTCGGTCAAATTTGCTTTATGAGTTCAAAAATAGGTTGAAAGCTGCGGAGGCTGCACGTCGAATTCGGAATGCGCTTGGCGAAGACGCCGTTATTGATGGTACCGCTAGGTTTTGGTTCCGACGATTCAAAGGTGGTGATGAAAGCCTAGAAGATGAACACCACGTGGCGGTCGCCCTGAGACCTGTTCGGATGACCAAATAAGACGCTGTCTTCTCGAAAACCCTCGTCCAACCTCTTCAGAAATAGGCCTTACATTAAATTGTGATGGGTCAACCGTAAGGAAACGCTTGAATGCCATGAATTTTATCAAAAAGTTGAACAAATGGATACCGCATGAACGATAACGCGTGACCACATGTTTCTTTACAGACTCGACAAAAAATCCAGAGTGTTGGATGGGAGGTTTTACCACATCAACATTATAGTCCAGACCTTTCTCCATCTGATTATTATTTATTTTTGTCTCTGTCTAACTTTTTGGCCAATAAACGGATCAACCTCGGTTTTGACATCCGAAGAAGATGTCAAAACCGAGGTTGATCTTTTCTTCACCTCTAAGGACCAAGATTTTTATTATCGTGGAATGTCTTTACTTGTAGAACGCTGGCAAAATTTTTTTTTTATATTTTAAAAAAAAAAAAAAATAAAAAAACTTTAAAAATAATACTAATTTCACCACAAAACAAAAAAAAAAATAAACCAACCAATCCCCCCCACAAAACCCAAAAACCATAAATTTCATTTTTTTTTTTTATTTTTAAAATATTTTTTTTTTTTTTTTTTTTTTTTTTTTCTTTTAAATCTCCTTCCATTAAAAAAAAAAAAAAAAAAAATTAATTAAAAAAAAAAAAAAAAAAAAAAAAAAAAAAAAAAAAAAATGCCCCCCCCCTCGCCCCTTTTTTATTTTTTTTTTTTAATTTTTTTATTAAAAATTTTTTTTTTTTTTTTAAAAATTTTTATTTTTTTTTATTAAAAAAAAAAAAAAAAAAAAAAGCGATAATATTTTTTTTTTAAAAAAAAAAAAAAACCCCCCCCTAAAAGGTTGTTCTTTCGAATGGTGATTACTTCGTTGAATAATAATTATTTTAAACTTATGATCTTTTATATTTAAACGTTAAAAACGTGGATTACTTTTTCACACACCTAATAATACGTTTGAAATAATACGTTATTCAGGCTACAGGGTGCGGCATAAGTATGGTTACAAGGTTGTAACATTGATTTAAGAAACTGATTGATTTTTATTTCTTGCCAAAGGATTATTTTTTCTTAATTTGAATGCTTTTTTATATTATGTAGCAGTTTTTAAGCAAATTTTTAAGTTTGGACATAATGGTGAAGGCTTCTCCCAACCGCACATCGGCGCGAAATAAGGCAAAAAAGTGTTTTCTAACAAAAAATTCTGTAAAAATGCGTACTAGATGCAAAAAATTATGGAGAATTCAAAAATCGTAGTTATTTGAAATTTTGTCTGGCTCATTTTGAGCAAAGTGCATTTTTGTCAAATTTTCTATGTTAAGTTTTCTTTCCAAGGCTCTAAAATGAATATATCGGAACAAATCAAAAAAACCCCGGCGGTTTTGGGTCAGGCTTGTCGCGATGAACATTTTAGTAAAAAAAAGATAAAAATCGGATAACCCAGCGCGGAGTTATTAAGTTTTGAAAGAAAACGTTCAAAAGCTACCGTAACCTTCACATTTCCGCATTCTAAAAGACACCCTATTCTAGATTCGTATGCAAATTTCACAATCGTGCAACTTTTCGTTGTCGGCAACAATCGCTTTTATGTTTTCCGTTTTTTATGTTCTCCGTTTTTATGTTTATCCACTTTCTTAAGCTCCTTTTTCAGATGAGTCGTCCAAAAAAATCGAAAATTGCTGCTCAAAAGGCAAGAAAGGCTCAATTGGATAGCAAAAGTTCTATCAACAAAGCCATCCGTGCATTGATTTAATGAAAAAACTTAACTTTGTCGATGGCAGACGATGAGATGAAAAAATACGAAGCAGAAAGAAAAAGAGGCAACGAAAAGTTGCACAATTTTAAAAAGCCGGCAAATTTGCATACGAATCTAGAATAGGGTGTCTTTTAGAATGCGGAAATGTGAAGGTTACGGTAGCTTTTGAACGTTTTCTTTCAAAACTTAATAACTCCGCGCTGGGTTATCCGATTTTTATCTTTTTTTTACTAAAATGTTCATCGCGACAAGCCTGACCCAAAACCGCCGGGGTTTTTTTGATTTGTTCCGATATATTCATTTTAGAGCCTTGGAAAGAAAACTTAACATAGAAAATTTGACAAAAATGCACTTTGCTCAAAATGAGCCAGACAAAATTTCAAATAACTACGATTTTTGAATTCTCCATAATTTTTTGCATCTAGTACGCATTTTTACAGAATTTTTTGTTAGAAAACGTACTTTCGCGCCGATGTGAACCGTGCCGCTATTCTTCAGCTTGGAGCACAAGGACGATCAACTTCGGATTTTGCCAAACTGCTGAAAATGCATCGAATGACGGTATACCGCATTTTGCAACAAAATATAGTGGAAGAGCTTCCTAAAAGTGGACGTCCGCCAAAAGTTGATCACAATGATGAATTGATCATAGACTCAAGAAAATCATTAAGAAACGAATCAAGCGCAATCCTGCCCGGAGCATGAGAAAAATGGCTCCCCAATTGAATGTTTCTGATAGAACTATCCGTCGTATCGTCAAAAAGGATTTGGGTCTTCACTCTTACAAGTTAAGGAAGCATAGAATGGAAGGATGGCAGAATGAAGGAAGAATGGCCTGACGGATCTTCGAATGAGAAACAGGAAGCAAAAATGTGCTCTTCTTCTTGCAAGGGCCGCAAATGATGAGCATCTGACGACGCTTTGTAATATCTGAATAACAAAAAAAGTTACTTTTATTTGAAACGCTAAATTTTTAAGACAAATTACAAGACAAAAGTAATACGGTAGGTTTTCGCGCATTCATTCCAGCCAAAAAGCCAAAATTTCATTTTAGCGAGACTAGATTTTAATTTTTTTTGCTTTCTACGCTGCTTTTGCAGGTTTTTAGGGTTTTGCTTCTGTTTTTACCCTTTTTTTCACTCATTTGACCTAGAGCACGGCAGTAGGCGCGCTCATTTCAGCCAAAATACCTAAAAACGTTCATTTCAGCGAGACTAGATTTTAATTTTTTTTGCTTTCTACGCTGCTTTTGCAGGTTTTTAGGGTTTTGCTTCTGTTTTTAAGGTTTTGCTTCTGTTTTTAAGGT